TCTGCCCTCCTATCCCACCAACAAAGCTCTCCTGTCCCAGCCCCAAGAAGATGCCAGGTTCACAGGGATTGGCTCACTGGAACCACACATCGCTGCCCATTCAAGGCTACCTTATGGGCCACCCGGTCCTGTGCCTCAGCACTTTGCATTTTCCACCTCTTACTTAATTTAAAAATCAGTTTGAAAATCCATTTTAAAAATCGGATTTAAAACTTCACTCATAACTCTACCACAGAGAACACTTCTTTTTTTATTTTAGCATATCTCTTTTTTATGTATATAAACTTGGGATGATATTACATGTGTTATTTTGTAATATACTACCATCACATTTTAAAAACAATTTTTTTGTAGAGACAGGGTCTCAGTATGTTGCCCAGGCTGATCTTGAAATCCTAGGCTCTCACAATCCTCCCACCTCAGCCTCCCAAAGTGCTGTGAGTGTAGGCATGAGCCACCACCTCCAGCCATCATTTCTTAACATCCTTAAATATTCATCCACAAAAGGATTTAACAATGGGAGCTCATGCATCTCTAACCTCATGCCCCACCCGCACATGTCATTTCAATGTGAGAATGAAGAAGAATTTATTCACTAGTCTTCGTCAGCCTCCTTCACTGCACCCTCGGCTCAGCAGGAAACGCGCTTGTGAAGATGCCATCCTTCTGTGGCTGTGTAATCCACCTGTTAAATGGCTACTTCAATGTCAAGCAAAACTTGCGAAAAGGAGGGTTTGACCTTGCCTTTGCCCTCAAAAATTTTCCAAAGGAACTCAGCGCCAACCATAGAAGAAAGAACTTTGGGGAATGAGAGAACTTATTATAGGCAGCATGCTGCCCAAAACGTACTTTGTCAAACCTTTTTGGCTAAAGCCATTGATATTCATACAATTCCTAGAGTCACAACAAAGTCTTGAGAGGAAAGTAGGGCACAGTTTTGCGCAGTGACAAATAGGCACAATAAGAGAAGCAGAGACAATGAAAGACGTGTTATGAAAGACAAGCAAATGAAAACAGGGTGGGTGATGTGCTTCTTTTTGGTGGGGAAAATTGGCAGCATTAACTTTTAATCTTAGTATCCCAAATGAGAAAGGAAAGTAAGAAATCCACATTCTTAATTCTGGAATGCAAATTTGCATTATATGCCAAGAGTTCTAAAATATTTCTAAGGTCCAGCCTAGTTATTCACTTCTAAAAATAATGCTAGGAAAATTATTAGACATGTGGTTGGAGATTTATAAACATCAGGCTGAGCTCAGTCTTATTGTAGCATCAGAATGTGAGCAGCCAGGCTAAACATCTAATAGGATAGGAATATTAAAGGCTATTTAATACAGCCATTTCATGCAATAAAGAATGGTTTGATGAGCTTTTATCAACCTTCAGAAAATCCTCACAACATACTGTTCTATGAACAAAAGCAAAATAGAAAATTGATTTTTAAAGTATATAGGACATGAAAAATATTTAGAAGAAAGCACAAAAAAAATGTATACCACTTGCCTCCAGGTGGGGGAATTAGGAGTGATATCTAGTTTCTTCTTTATGGATTTCCATATTTTTGAAACTTTCTGCATATTAACTTTATCATATTAACTTTATATTCAGAAGTATTGTTTTTATCAAAAAGAGTGAGACACGACAATAAGGGAAAGTTGATAAAATATGTGTCTTCCTGGAAAAATAAAAACAACCCTGAACTCAAAGTCATGGGAAATCAGATGAAAAACAGAGGCTCAGTATTGCTCAAACCATCAGAAGATGGAGATGGGAACACTATTTATAGATCAGACGCAGAGCATGGGGCAAAGCCAAGTGAGAGTTACGAACACCTGCCCCTTCCTGTGCAAAGGAGTGTATGGGCACCTGCTAGATCAGCCTTAGTTAGTTTTTATCATGCTTATGAAGTTCTGCATTTAAAAATCCTTCCAGCATGGTTAGAGAGAGGACATTTCCTGGCTTGCAGACTAGGTAAATGACAGCTGAAAGAAAAAGAGGAGTCCTGTGAGCCTCCTCTAGTTTGCACCCAGGAGAGGACACTCCTCTCTAGTGAGCCCATGCATCCCTAACCTCACGCCCCACCCACACAGCCTTGGGTCAGTGGTAGAAGGTCCTGCATAGACCCTGCCCTGGCCCTGTGCTTGCCCATTACTGCACACACCGAGATAGACAAAAGCCAGTCTCAGACATTGCTATTCTTCAGATCACCTCCCCGACACCTGCCACAGCTCTTCCTTTTGGTCTTCTTGGTCCTTGACAGTCTTTTGGATCCCATGCAGTGCTCCCAGTCTTCCCCCAGCTCCAATACTTAACAAACTTTCTTGCAGCCGGCTTGGACCTTAAAAACCTTCCACAACTCATCTTTCAATATTTGTCCTACAGCAGCCCTATGTGATAACACCAGGCATGGAGCCCTTGCAGCAGATGCTGTCAGTGTCTCACCCATATCCCCTCTTCCTGGGCATGCTAGCCTGACTTCCACCTCCAGCATCTGTAGGGCCAGCCTGAGGCCTTTGTCTGGTCACAAGAGACTACTCTGCCCTCGTGTGCAGCAGGTCAAAGTGACAGGCAATAAACAACTCCTTGCAAGAGCCTTTAACCAATGACAAGTGGAAGCTGGTGGATAAATACCCCAGCTCCCTTGCCACTTGCCACTCAGATGGGATGCCCCTGAGCGCTGTATTCTCCGTGTTTCCTTGAGTTTCCCAGCTCCAGTTGTCCACAGTGGATATTCTCTTGGCAATGCATCATGGATTGGATTCCATCTCTTTCCTCTCTCACTTCCCCACATCCCTATTGCTGTTATCTGGGATCATCACTTTAAAAAACCACTTGCCTCTGGATTTTTCTTCTCACAATCTGCTACTGGCACAAACCAAAATAAGACATCACCTCACTCCACGCCATATGGAATCAGCCTTTGAGGCCTGACCCTAGGCTGTTTCCACGACTGTCTACGCTGGGAGGCAGGTGAGTCAGACACAGAAGCTGGTGGGGTCCATGTCCCTCCCCTGTTCGACCTCTGGGACTCACCTCTGTGGTGCCGGGCCACAATCACAGATGGGACACCGAACATTACATCCCCCATTAAGTCCAGGAACAGGTCTTTCTTTTTGACAGGGTCTTCTGTTCCTCCTAAGTACTTCTCAGTGGCTTCTGGAATCAGTTCCTTAGGAATGTGCTAAAATAGATCAACAAAGTGACCACCACCCCGTGGTGAGCGATGCAGTTTCTCCAGCCCACCAGGAAGGCCTGCCTCAATGGTGAACCTTGC